GATTCGCCATTCATGGATGATGCCCATAAAAATCCTGAGAAAGTATCTATAGTAACATGTACCTCTCCCAAGTGTTCAAATGAGGGTATGCAAGTGACATCCTTTGCCAGAGTGCATCCATGTGAGTTAACTCCATCAGGTCCCTCCCTAAGTGAGGTTGGCTGACAGTGAGCGCATTCTCTGACCTTTTGTCTGGCTGGGGCCCACGTTAGATGAGACCTTTGTCTTAGGCTAGCAGCGTTGTTGTGCAGACTTTGATGCTCAGCTTTGGGAGCGTAAGAGTAGCAACAGAGAGATGGATTGAGTTTGGCCACTGACACTGTGGTTGACAAGGACTAAAGGAGAGATGAAATTGGTTGGTCTAAAGTTTAAAGCATTGTCAGGAACCTGGTCCTATGGCATGACTTAGCCTGCGAGGGCTAGAGTTGTTGGGAAGTTATGAAGGGGTGTGCGGTCTGAATCATAGGGAGTCATGTGGGGAACTCACTGGCTTGCTGCAGCAGTCACCAGTTTTCTTAGTTTGGAATGGCTAGGACTGGGTTGACCAGAATCCAGTTGAATGAAGATAAAATATTTGACCCTGTGAGTTGATACTCTTTGCTTGTTGGCTTGATGAATGGTCTGCCCTGGTTTGACTTTATTTATGGATGCAGATTCACAAGGTTTCAACTGCAGTAAAGATTCTACACATCTAAGACCATGGTTGTTTCCTCAGAGCACTGGGCTGATAGAAATGGGCAGTTCAGAAATTGCATACCCAAATTGGGAGGAGCTAGAAGCATAAAGAGGCTAGCTTACCAACTGTCATGAATGTGAGAAGATGTTGATAGGATTATAGAATTCAGGTGTATGTGTTCACATAACTTTAATTGTTAGTCATATAATATTTCTATTTTGTTCACTTGTAGAATATAAGGTTTAAATGGGGCTGGTGCCTTTTCAGGTGTATATGTGTTAATTGTATCCTGTTAGGTACAAACATGATTTTATGATTGTCTTGGGGGCTTATGTATGGTTAAAGAGGTGTATAAATGTATTAACTTGGCAAAGAGTGATCTGTGATAGTTCAGGATTATGTCAACTAGACACTCCTGGCTAGGAATGATGTCATAGCTGTCAGTCAAGTCCCAGCCTGACGACACCTCCTTGATGCCATAAGCCTTTTGTATCAGAGCAAGACGAACCCCCTCTACCCATCCACTGTGCTGCCTGCTAGAACTCTGTCTGCCTCAAGGGATAGCTTACCGTGGGACCCACAACCCTGAGAATTATAGGCCCTTTGCCATGTTTCCACCAACTTTGGATGCATGGGACTCTGCACCTACTGGCCCGTCATCTTCCTGCTTCCCAGTTCACCAGCCTGCAGCTACATAGGGTAATGAGGGACTTATGGACTAGCATTCGACGTATGGACTTGAGGTGGATGGGGATGGGATGCCTTTTTTGACATAAGATTATTTATGGATAGAAAGCTCTTTCTTATACATGAGTGTCACTGGATTTTTTTGTTAGACAACCCAGCGTAACAGGTCTTGTGTTAAAGTACTGATTTCGGATTTCTGTTCTTTTTTCATGTTGGCGTTGATTACTATAAATTACTTCTAATTAGCCACTTTTCCTGTGTCCCGACGGTTCTGGTCTGATGTATTATTGTTCTCACATGTTTCTAGAAATTTCTTAATTGCATCCTTTATTTTATCTATTACCCTGTAGTTTTTAAGTAGTATATTGTTTGGTCTCCATATGTTTGTCTATGTTGTTTTCTTTTTATTGTTGATTTCAAGTTTTATAGCATTGTGATCTGAGAAAATGAACTGCAGGATCTCATTTTTTAAAATATTTTTTTTAATTTACTAGGCTTCCTTTGTGGCCTAACATGATCTATTCTAGAGAATGGATAAGAATGTGTACTATGTTAATGTTGGGGTGAATGCTCGATGTATGTGTAGGACAGTAGTTCTCAACCTTCCTAATGCTGCAACCCTTTAATACAGTTCCTCGTGTTTTGGTGACTCCCCAACCATAAAATTATTTTTGTTGCTACTTTATAACTGTAATTTTGCTACTGTTATGAATCTGACGATCCCTGTAAAGGTCGTTTGGCCCCCAAAGGGGTCATGACCCACAGATTGAGAACCACTTCATCTAGGAGGTTGAGCTGGTGGATTGTGTTTTTCAGCTCTTTTGTTTCTTTATTGAGTTTCTTTACTGATGATCTGTCTTTCCTTCAGAGTGGTTTGTTGAAGTCTCCTACTACTATTGTTGAGCAGCTTATTTCTGTTTTCAGCTCTGTGAGATCTGATTGGTGTGTTTTGAGGGTTTTCATTGGATGTGTATATGTTTATTACAGTTATATGTTCCTTGTGTGCTGTTCCTTTAATCATTATGCAGTGTCCATTTTTGTCTTTTCGTATGCTATTCACTGTGAAGTCATTTTATCACAGATTCATATTGCCACTCCTACAATTTGTGGTTGCCATTGGTTTGGTAGATTATTTGCCATCTCTCAATATTCAAGGCTATATTTGAATTTAAGGTGTGTTTTTTGTAGGCAGCATAGAGATGGGTCTTGTTTTCCAATCCAGTCTGCTACTCTGTCTTTTGAATGGTGCATTTAATCCATTGACATACAGCGACATGATATTGACATGTCTGCTACTGTCACTTTGCTGTTTGGTTTCTTTTCTCTTTTGGGGGGTTTTATGTGTGTTCCTGCTCTATTTTTATGTTGTTTTGAGTGCTGTTTTCCTCATTTTGGTTTCTGAGTGGTGTCAGCCTTGTCTGCTGTTCTTGATGGTCTGTCAATAGTAATTGGTTAATATTTTTTGTAAAGCAGGTTTTGTTTTTCCTTGTTTGAGGGATAATTTTGCTGGATATAGGATTCTTGGTTCGCAGGGCTTTTTTTCTTTCAGAATTTGTATACATAACTCTATTGTCTGCCTAGTTTCTGCTGAGAAGTAAGCACTTATTTTTAACAGTTTTCCTTTATAGGTGACTGTTCTTTTTCTCTAGTTTCCCTCAGGATTCTCTCCTTTTCCTGGAAATCAGACAGTTTGACAAGGATATATCATATTTTTCTTTAGGGATATGTCTATTTGGGGTTCTCCCAGTTTCTTGAACGGTTATTTCCTCCTCCTTTGTGATGTAGGGGAACTTTTCTTCTATGATGTCTCATACTTTTTTCTCTGTAGATGCTTTTGTTTCTTCTTCTTCTTCTGTGATCCTGATAGGTTGTTTCTCTTGATGTTGTTGTTAAGGGCCATAAAGTTTGTTCTGACCCATAAGATCCAGTGCACAACAGAATGAAACACTGTGCAAACCTGCACCATGCTCATAATTGTTTTTATGTTTGAGCACATTGTTGCAGCCATGATATTAATCCATTTTGTTGAAGAATTTCCTCATTTTCTCTGCCCCTTTATTTTACCAAGTATAATATTCTTCTCCAGGGACTGATCTCACCTGAAAATATGCCCAAAGTATGTGCAATGAAGCTTCACTATCATTGCCTCTAAAGAGCACTCTGGCCATACTTCCCCCAAGGCAGTTTTGTTTATTCTTTTGGCAGTCCATGGTACTTTCGATATTTTTCACCAGCACCACAATTCAAACAAATGGATTCTTCTTCAGTCTTCTTTAGCCAATGTCCAACTTTCAAATGCATATGAAGCAAGTGAGAATACCACGGCTTGAGTCAATCACACCTCAGTCCTCAAAGTGCCATCCTGGCTTGCTTTTAAATATTCTAACGAGGTATTGAGCAGCAGGTTTACCCAATGCAACACAGCTTTAATCTGTAAAGAAGACCAAATTCCACACGACTGGTCCAATAAGTAACATCATGATAGAGAATAGATTGAAGTTGTCAAGGATTTTGTCTTACCTGGATCTACAATCAATGTTCATGGAAGCCAAAGTGAAGAGATCAAAAGGCGTTTCCCTTGATAGTGTCCCACATCATTGAGAGGCTTACTTCTGATTCCATTGCCTTTTTTTCTTGTTTTCTATTGTTGTCTAAATGATTGTCTCCAAACTGATGGATTTGATTTTCTGCCTCTTCCATCTTATTCCTCTGATCTTTTACTATGTTGCCTAATTCTGTTATTTCATTTTTTTTTATCTTGCGTGATTTCTTTTGGTTTAAGGATTTTAGCGATTCAATTTCTTCTGTTGTCCTCATGAGTGTTCCCCACATCTTTTGAAAGATCTTAAACATTATTCCTATGAATTCTGTTTCTGGTAGTTTCATGGCCTCTTCTCCTGAGTACACCATTAGGTTTGGGTGATTTCTGGTTGTTTGTGTGTGTTTTTCTAATTTTGTTTTTGTTGTTTACTGTGGTTGACTGATGTTTCCTTGGTATTGTGGTTCAGCTATTAGTGGTGAGCTGGTGGGTCGTGTAGAGGTTGTTGACTCTATTTAGTAATGTGGAAAAGGTCTAATAGGAAATACAAAATGTACAGTGGTGAAATGGGAACAAGGGGAGAGAAATGAATAAGTGTGGAAAGAGGAGCAGAAGGAGAAAGAGAAAAATAAAAGTAATGAGAGTATTAACAAGTGGTTGTGTGGATAGGCCCACAGAATTATAAAAATAATGGGAAATGTACTATAAATTGCCTGGCATACAAAAATCTCAAGCAAACCCTCTGGCATTAAGTCAATTTATGCTCACAAGTAGCCCTACAGCTTAATTCTGAGACTGTTCATCTTCATAGGAGCAGACAACCCCATCTTTCTCTCCTAGAGCAGTTGGTGACTATGGAACTTACAATTAGCCGCTCAACACCTATCTCCCAGCACCACCAGGGCTCCTTGGCATACCAGAGCTTTCCATAAATGGCTGTTATGTTACGATAAATTCTGAAGAAATTTCAGATATATTAGAAATTCCATGTTGTAGAATAAGAACATCAAAAGGCAATGACACCATTTCAGATTATGCACAATACACACAACAAACATTCTCCTTTGTTCATATATGCATCCATTTTCCTTTTCCCAGTTCTCAAAAGCCTATGGCCCTGTGTTCACTCTGTATTTTGGCATGAAACCCACAGTCGTGTTGCATGGCTATGAAGCAGTGAAAGAAGCTTTGAATGATCTGGGAGAGGAGTTTTCTGGAAGGAGTGATTACCCATTGATTGACAAAGCTAATAAAGGACTTGGTAAGTGAGTGTGTGTGTGTGTGTGTGTGTGTGTGTGTGTACATATGCATGTGCATGTGCACCTTGGGTAGTGCTAAAGATAGAGAGGAAAACTGAACTGAGATTGAAAAGCTGCTCTGGTAGAGTCTGACTCATCTGTGTGGAGGACAAGATCAGCACCCCCTTCCTTGCAGAGAATCTAGCTCCCTCTTAGTTTCTGCCATTCCTCCTGACAGGAGTCGTTTTCAGCAATGGAAAGACATGGAAGGAAACCCGTCGCTTCTCCCTCATGACCCTGCGGAATTTCGGGATGGGAAAGAGGAGCATGGAGGACCGAGTTCAGGAAGAAGCCCAGACCCTATTGGAGGAGTTGAGAAAAACCAATGGTGGGTGATGCTTCACTTTCTTTCTCTACCGTAACATGTGTTTCTCCTCTAATGGGGTCCTGGGAAATATGTAAGCAGTGCCCAAGACTTTACTCAGATGTAGAGTAGGAGGAACCATTGTCGTGCATGGGTTACACGTAGGACTGCTAACAGCAAGGTCATCAGTTTGAAACTTCCAGCTGCTCAGTGGAAGGAAAATGAGGCTTTCTACTCTCCCACATGGACAGTTCAGCCCTGTCCCATAGAATTGCTATGAGCTGGATGCTACTGAATGGCAGTGAGTTTGAGACTGAAGTGATTGAAGCAGAGAACAATGAAGTACTTCTGTTTTTATATTCGTGTGTATACTCACAATGTGTACATAGTATGACTTAATCCTCCCACCCCAAAATTAAATATACTTCACTGCCAAGAACTTAGTGACTCTTAAGGATGATATAGAAATGCTCCTGTGGGTTTCCAAGACTGTAAGCCTTTCTGGAACTAGAAAACTTCCTTGACTCCTATTCTTCCCAGGCTTTGGTTTGATTTCATGAAAAATCCTGAAGGTAGAGTCTTTGGGGTCTCCTTCAGTCAGCATCAAAAAGCAATGTTTTTGCCTCTTGAAAAATTTGAATGATCTGTTTTAGAACATTTCACCAGAGAATAATTGTCAAGGGGACCCTGTGGGAATGACCTCATCACATCCTAATGGGGCAGGAAGCAAATGTTCTTTGCTTTCACTTCCTGAGGACTATGCTTATGGTAAACCTCCCTGCAAGTTTCTGCTAAGGTGCATGCACACAATTCTGGCCTGCATGATGCTCCTCTATGGTTTTGACTGACTAAACATCTTATTAGTCCCTAATTAAAGCTCTCTGCTTCATCCATAAGGTGTGGTGTTCAAGCCCATCCATCACTCTGTGGGAGAAAGCTATGTTAGTCTACTTCCAAGAAGGTTTGAAGTCTTAGAATACCAGTGGGCCTTTCTAATCTTATCTAATAAAGTTGCTATGAGTCAGAATTTACTACAGAGAAGTGCCATTTCTTGTTGCAGCTGTCATCGATTGTGATTCCTGTCAAACACAGACTATTTTAAAACTACCACTATGAATTATGTAATGTTATTAACTAACATTAAACATTCAAGGAGTAAGAAAATTTCTGGGATGGCACAATTTGTAAAGTGAAAATAAAACCATTTACAAAATTATTTATTTAACTGGAATGAGACTATTACTCATTCTTTCCTCTGTCTTCTCTAATGGTTAGTTGGTTCTCTTTGGGGGGTGGGGCTTATACTGCTCCAACATAATTTCATTTTGGTTTAGGACATTTATGCTAAGCAGTTACCTCTCACTTCCAGGTCAATTGACACAGAAGGTGCTTGTCACAATGACAGGGGTTTTCTCCTTGGATTCCAAATTACCTTGGATTTTAATTATTTCTTTCCGATTAAAGGGAAACTATAATAAAGATTTAGCTTTGGAATACACGTGCACACATGCAAAGATACCCCAAAGAATTTGCAAATATTCTCCAAAACTAAGCTAAGCAAAAGTCTTTCCTGAAAGCTGGACTCACTGCTGTGCTTTGAGTTTCAGATGGTATGAGAGAAGCTAGCTCAAAGCCTGCTGAGTATCCAGCTCCCTGTCATTTCTGCACAGCATGTTTGATTTGTGGACACATTTTAACGTTTCATTTCTTAACTCCCCAAGCCAAACCCAAAACACCACTGCCACCAAGTAGATTCCCACTCAGCAACCCCATAGGACAGAGTAGAACTATCCCTGTGGGGGGTTTTATTGATTGGGATTAATACACATATTAAATCATTCCGTAGTCCAATCACCTCCAGCAGAATTGTAATTTGCTATCACGATCAGTTTTCAAACATTCTTTTTCTATATGGACCCGTTGGCACCATCACCCCTTTACCCTGCCCCCAACCGCTGTGCCCCACTCTTGTCAAAACCCTCATTCCACGTGCTGACTCTATAGGGTCCTCTCTCCTGGTTTTCATGCACCAAAACACGAAAAAACATATACCGCAATTTCAGGAGGACGACTCTAATGACATAACACTTCTGAGATATCCTAATATATACAATCAAAAACCAATCAAAACAACGCAACTCAAAATTTTGGAAACCAGATCAGGTCTAGCATGCATCCCAGAGGGAATCTGCTGACAAGTGTTAACTGTTCAAGGCAGGCTTCTTTGTTCAACTCTCCAACACACTCCGTTTAATAACCACTCTCCTCCTGACCCTCAAATTACAGAGAGGGGATTCACCAGAGGCTTATTTCCTATATAGTTCCACCAATGAATCTTGGGATCCCCCTGTCATCCACAGCTTTCTTCAAACCAGATTCTAAGAATTTAGGCTCTGAGACTATAATTCTTCATGGGAATCCAAGCCTCCTCTGAGGGCTGGTGGTTTCAAACTGTTGACCTTGGCAATTAGCAACCCAATGCCACCAGGGGTCCTAAAAAACCCAAACAAAGCATAGTAAAACATTTCCTTTCCTTTTATTTAATTATCTGAAAATTTATGGAACTGACCTAAATTATGATCAAATTTTTTTAATTACTACCTAATTTTAAATAACATGGGAATCCTGTCGATGGTTCTACTAGAACAATATCCCTCTAGTCAGGCACAAATAAATTCCCTTTGAGGGTTGCTTGGAGAAGATGGTTATGACTGCCTAGAACAAGAATGTCTTTCTTCCAATTAACTGACACCAAATCCAGACTTATTACCATTGACACTATGTGTCAATTCTAACTCATAGTGTCCCTATAGAACAGAGGAGAACTGTGAGCTAGGGTTGCCAAGAATGTAAGGCTTTGCCGAAGCAAACAGCCTCGTCTGTCTGCTGTGCATTATCTGGTGGGTCTGAACTACCAGTCTCTTGGTTAAGCCCAATGTTTAACCCACGGTCTCACCTGCAGCCTTCCATAATTGAAAGGAAGGAGTAAAAGGATACCATGGATTAATTTAAACTTTTAGTCTGCTCAATTTATGATTTAACTTTAAAATGAAAATTTCTCATTTTATTTTTATTTTAGGCAAAACATATTCTCAATATTACTGTTTGTTTTTCTATTCATATAAGCTGGAAGTTGTTTTATTTCTTTTTGCTTTTAATCCTTTAGGGGATTAATCCTGTAAACAGTCTTTACTCGCTCCCTCTGCTAGTTTAATCGGTAACTGTTCCCTCATATGAAAAGCTTTGAGGTTCCTCTTCTTTCCCTCACTTTCTTTATTGATGCTTAATTGTCTACACCGGCTTTGCAGGTATATGTGATTCTGCACTTACCAAGTGAATTAGTCAATATTTCTAAAAGGGATCTCTACTTTTTACAATTATTTTTCCTCAAAATTGCAGCAACTGTTAATTAAATTGTTGTCAATAAGGGCAAAGAATATGGACGGAATACTGAGAAAACTATTATTGAGCGAGGTAGCATAGACTTATCAATTCAGATGGCGGTCAAAGTTAAAATTTTATTCTGTTTCAGAGCCTGCTTGATAGAGGTAGAAGCAAGGAAAAAATATGTGGCATGTTAATTTTAGGCATTTTGAATCTTTTGCTGACGAAGGAGTTCCTGGGTAGATAGTCCTTAACAGTTCATAAAGTTTTATTTGTCTGTCATCTCAAGGGCAGGGCATTTTATATGTATATTTTAATAGTATCTTTTAATGTGTTTACTTTGTCAGCTTCACCCTATGATCCCGCTTTCATCCTTAAATGTGCTTCCTGCAATGTGATCTGCTCCATACTTTTCAAGAGTCGTTTTGATTATGCAGATCAGATTTTTCTTAACTTGATGGAAAAATTTGAAGAAAACATCAAGATTCTTAACACCCCATGGATTCAGGTGAAGTCGATTCTTTCTCCCTGGGAAAGTATTCCTGTTTCTGTCTCTGACAAGTGAAAATAAAATTTGTATATGGACTGATCTGAGAAGTGAGTAAAAAAGACTTGTCCAGAACAGTGCATCATAGAGTGAACACCTTGGAAGTCTAGCTAAGCCATTTCTTTTTCGCATAAGAAAATGAATGCTCAAAATATGGACTTCTCGTCTAATCTGTTGGCTCTTATAAACCCAGTTTCCAAAGAAGTACTTTGGAAACGAAATTCATACCCTCAACACTCAGTGGATTTCAAGGCTCTTGTTGAAGTATTTCTACCTCACCACTTGTGAGGATTGCCTTTTGTTCAACATATAATTACTTGTGGCCCAGATAACTTGAAAGAAATATGATAGTTTTGGAGATCAAGGAGACAGATGTCTAGGACCATGCTTGTTACTAGGAAACATTAACTAAATGAAGGATGGTTGAAGTTCAGATGGGATCTCAGTTGAAAAATGAATGGGATATACAAGGTATGAATCATAATCAACACAGTTTTCCCAGTGCTGACATGCATGTCCCGCACTATTCCAAAGTGTATTATCTGAGAGAAGTCACTCAGCTACTCTGGAGCAGTTTCTTTATCCACAAAATGTTGCCTTGGATTTCATGATAGCTTTACGCCCCTCCCGGGTCTAAACTCCTGATTCTCTTTCTGGTGTGCTTGCTAGTTGGGGAAACAGCCACAACGAGCTTTGTACTCCATAGACGGTGTCCGACTCTCTTTACAATATCCTCAGTAATCTATCACACAATGTGTGTCGTAGTAAGTTATGCCACCCTATATTTCAAGGTTGTAAGGGGGGAGGGGAATAATATAAACTATGAGAGGAGTGATGCTTTAAAACAGAAAATAGGGAATGAGTATTGAAATGGTTATCATAGTTGATTATGCAGTCTGTCTTCTACCTCAAATCCTTCTATAAGCTTAGAGCATTATTTTATAGAAAGAATAAAAATGTCCCCCTCCAGATGGAGATAATTTTCAATGAATCAAATGGAGATTAATTTCTAACAATGGGTTGGCACATGGTATGTGTGTTTTCATTAAACTCTTATATTTAACACATGATTCTCTTCTCTTTAGGTCTGCAATATTTTCCCCATACTCCTTGATTATTTTCCAGGAAGTCATAACATATTTTTAAAAAATTATAATGATGTAAGACATTTTATTTTGGAGAAAATTAAAGAACACCAGCAATCTTTGGATTTAAACAACCCTCAAGACTTTATTGATTGTTTCCTCGTCAAAATGGAACAGGTAAGATGTTAGCAGAGTGTCACTTACTGCTTTGCTTGTGCATTTTATGATTCATTTTAATAATATGTATCCACTAGGCATGTTTAACTGCTCAGGAAAGTAATGCTCGACAAGCACTTTGAGTACTTACGTGTGCTTGTAAGCATCATACAAGAGTTCAAAGCTGACTTGTTAGAGGAAATAATTAGAGTAATCGTAAATAAACAAATGGATTGCTGTTTCATCCCTAACAGTTTACCTAAGGAGAAATGGATGTGCTCCCGAGATGAAATGGGACCAATTCCAAACAAGCTAATCCACTGCATCCAGTCTATTTACATGCTTAGTTATCACACAGGACATCCTACAACTGCTTCTTTGGGTTTCCAAGGCTGTAAACCTTTACAGGAGCAAAACCTTGATCTTTCTCACATAAAGCAACTGGTGCGTTTAAAATACTAACATTGTAGTTAATAGCCCACAATGTAATCTATTTTATCAAGTTAGAAATCACCAACTGTCATGCCATCAAATGAGAATGGAAATGAACATTGCACCCAGTGTGAAGGAATATTTGCAATATGGGACAGAGAACCCATTTCAGATAAATTGAATGGTCTATACGAAGGATGAAAGGATATTGTTCAATTTCCATTTTTTAAAGCTTTGTGCTTGATAACTGTCTTAACTCCTCAAGTGCAAAGCGGTCTGATATAAAAAGATGGTCGCTGCTCACCTCAGATGTGGCTCGAGTGGAGGCATGCAGGGTCCAAGACCAGGGACCCAGAGCAGCTTAGAAGCAGGAAACAATAGCTCTTCAAGTCTGCAATTAAAAATGACCTCCAATAAAACTACATTGCCAAAAAGAGAAAAGAAATAGAACTACGAGGCCGAACCTTAAGAATCTGTGGCAGAAAAAGTACTGGACCCACGTGTTATGAATGGGAAGGTGGCATCGTTCCTAAAGGGAAAGGGATTTCTAGAAGCTGATAATACTTGGGAACCTGAAGAAAATTTAGGTTGTTCAGAATTAATTGAAGCATTTCTTGATTAAAAAAAAAAATCTCATAAAGAAAAAGTTGGAGCAATAAAACCTCTCTGACAGTGGATCTGAGGCAGCAAATCCAAGAAGAAAAGCGATGCTGCTGACAGACAGACAGACGCTTTGCTGGAGGTCTGGGTACTGAGCGAGTAATTGGTGCCCAGACAGCAGTCGGGAATTCACATTCCTCGTGAAATGGAAAAACCCACATGAGGCGGACCTGGTGCTGACAGAAGGGCAACCATGAATGCGCTCACATTCTAATTGTGTGCATGAAGAGAGACCAAGTTGGCATTCTTGTCCAGAAGGTGAAGCTCAGTGATTGTTTGAAATGATATATATAATTATTATATACAATATATTATACATAATTTGGGTCTTGGGTTTTTTGTGCGTTTTTGTTTTTAACTATTAGTGTGTAGAATAACTACATTCTTCTGGAAATCAAGTTTGATATGTTTGTTTTGAAGTAGTATTAAGAGGTTATTTTGTGGTGGCATCAATAAACATAACCATACAGCCCTCTCCATGGGGAAGAACAACAGAAAACACGAGGGAAGGGAGACAGTGGTCGGTGTGAGATATGAAAATAATAATATTTTATAATCTACCAAGGAGGTCTGAGGGCGGATGTGGGAGGGCAGGGGGAAAATGAGGAGCTGATACCAAGGGCTCAATAGAAAGTAAATGTCTAAAAAAAATTTTTTTAAGAAAGTAAATGTCTAGAAATGAATGAAGGTAACATATGTACAAACATGCATGATGCAATCAATGTATGGATTATAACAAGAGTTGTAAGAGTCCCCAACAAAATGATCTTTGAATAAAAAATATATAGCACTAGTAACTTTAAACAAATGAAACTTTCTGTAGTTTCTTCATTTATCAAAAAAGAACATTTGATACCAAGGTATATTATTTCCTCGGCATTTGAAAATAACTTTTCTAAATATTGGGAAATTCTACTTAGTAGAATTCTGATTTAGTAAGGGAGATGTTAGACAGTGTAAGATAGGACGAAATAATAATAATTTATAAATTATCAAGGGTTCATGAGGGAGGGGGGAGCAGGGTGCAGGGAGGGAGGGGGAAAATGAGGAGCTGATATCAAGGGCTCAAGTAGAAAGCAAATGTTTTGAGAATGATGATGGCAACAAAT